GTGAACGGTTGGGTTATCGGTCTCAGGTCCCACCACTAACTCACGTCCCCATACGGACTAGCCCTCCCTGCATAAAGGTCCGGTCAGCCAAGAAAAAGCTAGGAAAAGAAAGAAAAGCAAACAAGACGGTTCATTCGGTAGTTCAAACTTTTTTTCTTCCTACTTCACTTAAGGTTGCGGCGCTGATCGCGGCCCGCAGGCTGCACGCCGACCATCATCTCTCTATAAATAGTCTACTTCGTGGGAGCTATGTCGTCGCAGTGTGGTCGCTGTCCTATTCTTAGCTGTTTTGTCTGTTCCCTTTGTTGGTGGTCGAATGAAAGGGGGCTTGGCCGATGGTGAGCCGGTTGAACGGAAGGGATAGAGAGCACGAAAGTCTCCAGTTGGCAGTGGAAGTAGAGGAAAGTGGGTGGAAGGTAGACCAAGATAGGAAAGCGCCGAAATCACACGTACAAGTGTGCTTCTCTGGGAAGTAGGTCTGAGAATGATGACTTTGCTCTCTGAAATGTAAAGCGCTGGCGGAGGAGACTGTTAGTCGAGAACTATCGTTGGCGTTGAAGGTCTGGAGCAGAGCAGACTAGAGCCGGACCTGGTGTCGGATGATGAGTGGTGAAGGTAGGGCAAGAGGTGTAGGAGCAGAGTCACATGAGAGATGAGGGATCGTCGAAAGGGAAAGATAATTAAGAACGTCGAAAGGGAAACTGGCAAGAGCCCCAAGGACTGCCTCAAAAGTGTCCACCAATAGGCAGTTGCCAAAGACTCAGGAAACCAGGTGGGTTTGGCGTCACACAAGCATCAACTTACCAGATAGGAAGGCTCTCTAGACTCCGAGGGGAAACAGGGTGGGTATCTCAATGTATCTCAAATGCGGAAAGGCAATGTACTGATGAAGCTGAAAAGAGTCGTAGCTCGCCGGCTGGATGGGGGTATCAAGTAAGAGGCAAGAGGCAACAAGACCAAACGCTCAGGGTATATCCCCCGAATCGATCGACTGAGCTCCTGCAGCAAAGCTTAAGAACCTGTGCAGAGCTAGAAGATCGTGAGCGTCAGCCAGATGGCGAAGCAGCAGTGGCGTCGAATCTACCCTCTTGGTTCTTGTGTACAGCGGCGTGGACGGGTTCGGCCGTCGAGACCGAGCAGCGGGCACTAGGGAGCAGCAAGCTCCACGGCACAGACCGAGCCAGCCGAATAGATACCAGACGGCTGTGGCTGCTGCTGCTGCTGCTTTGAGTAAGTAAAGATGGCGATGTGGAGATGCCGGCTTGTCGTCTACCTAGCGTCTGTGTAAGTGGATTGGCGGTTCGGCAGCGCTCTCGTTCGTTGTAAGCGTAAGCACAACCGGATTTGTCGTGTGCTGGATAACGTCCCGAGCGGTCAATTGTTGGCTAGGTCGACTGCGAGGTGCACGGCATATAGGGGGAGTGTGTGTGTTTCTCTGTGGTGTGTGTGTGAGAGAGAGAGAGAGGATGTGGCGAGATAGGCAGAAAAGGAGGAGGCTGGGGGTGGCTTGGATCGACTCCTGATGGTGGTGTTGTCGAGTGCGACCCAGATAGTGTGGTACATCGCCGACACCCTCTGAAGGGCGCAACTAACCACAAGGCCCCATTGAATTGATAGCAGAAGATTTATGGGTGCTGGCGACATGCAGTCCTACGCATGGTCAAAATTCTGGGTATTAACATTGTATATCAAGCGGCGGCTCGCCCCCCCAGATAGAGGCCTCAGATGTAGCCCTTAACACGATTTCACGGCGGTGCACAGCATCCAGAGTAACGCTGAGGCTGCCACACGCCCACAGCATCCCTGCGGCCCGTCCTGTCGTGGGCACGCGCGCTTCCCTGCCATCTGCCGGTAGTTCCCTGGACCCTCCTTTAACGCCAAGTACAATGCTTTTTTCTTTCTTTGCCTTTGAGGTCAGTTCTCTCATTCGCCAATGGATTGGCCTGCCAGCCAACATCGATGCAGGTGTCGAGGATCATCGTCCCATCCGTCATCCAATGTGTCTCGCTTCCTCATACACGGCATCCGAACGCCATTCCAGCGCATCACATGCAAACGATCGATCATGTCTGCCACGCAGCCCCCCCACGGCAAGTCCACGCCTGCGTGGCCCGCCCGTTGATCTCCAGCACAGGCGGCTTGAAGGTGCCCGGCTGAAAGTCCTCGAGCGGATGCTCCTTGACGACCACAGGCGCTGCGCTATTGTCGCCGTACATGACGTACTGGATGCCCAGGAGGGAATCGCAGCATGCTTGGAAGATGCCGCACATCTTGAAGGCCGGCGGGATTTCGGTCGAGGCTGTGAAGAACCAAAAGACCTTCATGGCGTCGCCGATGAGCCAGCTCGCCAGCAGGGAGACGCGGAAACCCTTGCAAGACTGGACGCGGGCGTTGGTGAGGATCTGGGGGATCGGAAGGATGGCCTCGATGCCGAGGCCCAGGAAGCCGATGGCGGTCGAGTAGGTACCGTAGACGGCGGGAACGGGCGTCAGGATGAGCTCGAGCGCGAGCAGGCCGATGAAGAGGTAGAAGAGGGCGTGCCAGTACCTAGAGGAAGTGAGGCGCGAGGTTAGCGGTGCTGGCTGTAACGGAGCGCATTCATTTGTGCCGTGCGACGAGTCCAGCGTGTCCCCGGGGCGCAACTCACGGCTTGGGCGACCTCCACTGCCAAAAGTTGAACGGCCTCGGTGTTTCCTCGTGCGCGGCGCCGGCAAAGGGCACTGCCAATTCTCCTCCCTTGGAGGAGGGCGGTAGACGGTGGTCGAGGGCGATCTTGAGGAGGGCGACCTGCATGGCAATCATGACGATCGCCTGGATGAGGAGCGCATTGTCAAAGTGCGCGCCGGGCCAGTAAAAGAGCCTGTCCATACCTGTCAGCAGTGATTCGGAAGCCTCCGCTCCGTAGCGCAGAGAGAGGCTCTAGAAGAGTGTGGCAACGCACTTCAGCAACGATGACACCAGCATGATCAAGGGAATGTCGAGTGAGAAGCCGGCGCTCGACTTGTTCCTGTGCATCGAGATGGCCTGGTCGCTGTAGGAGATGACGGGCGACAGGACGAGGAAGACGGGGGCCAGATAGCCCGTAAGTGTTGCGAACCACATGGCGGCGGATGGTTGTCGTTTGGGTGGGATGTGGAGGAGAAGAGGGCGAGAGTGGGAGGCGAGGTGATGTATGGTTTCGCTTCAGTTGTCGGCCGTGTCGTGTCGTGTCGTGTCTTGCCGTGCCGGAGAGGGGGGTGAGAGAGGGACGCGCAAGGGAGGAGGGCGCGGAACAGGCGGGATTCGAGGTGGAAACAGCGAGCTATCACCAAATCATGCCGCGCTTCGTTGTAGAGTTTGGAGAGAGCAGACAGAATCAAGGTCGGAACAGGAAAGGGAACCAGGCGTGGAGATGGTGCTTGAATCGCAAAATTGGCTATGTCGAGCACTTGGTTGATCAGGGGACCATGGAGCCAATCATCCGCAGATGCCGGAAATGACGATCGCGAAGTTGCAAAACGACGGTGCTGGAATTCTTTTGGGGGTTTGGCCCCTGTCCTCATTCATCAGGGATGGTATGGTAATGGCCAGCAATGTCGTGTTTTTGTGCCCGAGTCTTCAGCGTAGTATGGGATATGATATAGTGAACTCCCCGATAATATACATATAGCACTGTTTCTCCTTATCTTGTTGTTGTATCGTTCTCTCTTCTCTTTTTTATTCCTTTCATGTAGGTCTTTTCTTTTTTTCTTTCTTC